AAATCACGGGGAATTATTAAGTACAGCAGCTTGTGCTCTCAGCTATTTTAGCTTTCCCTATAGTGCCGTGCTGGCTAAACGAACGCAGTTAGCGTAATGACACGGGGATGCTGCCACACTCCCGGGCATCATTAGGGACCAGGGTGAACACGCCTGCGGGGAGGTAAAAAAAAAACAACCAAGTAAAAGCTAGAAATAATGTCAAAATGTCTTAACTAAAAAATAAATAAGAACATTTTCATTGCTTGATGGTGTGACAGGGGTACGCGCTCCCGCCCGGTACCAGTCTCATCCCCCACCTCAATTTGGGGTTTCCCAATGTGAAGCCCAAATTTAGGGTTTTTTCCAAAATCTCTATTTTTATTCCTCTGTTTTTTTAGGGGTAATGAAACTACAAAAAAAAAAACCCCAAACCCTTAACGGTGGGTCGGTGCCTGCCGTCTTGGCAATTTGCATGATGCAATCAAGGCACACTAATGAGCACGGAGGGGTCTTATCATTAACACACACACCCCCAAAAAACACCCCCCTCCCCCCATTCTCGACTGTTGGAGCGCCTTTCTCAATTAATGGCTTTGTTTAATCATACCCCCTGTCCAGAGGAGTATTGTCTTACGGATAATTTCGTTTGCCTAACGAGATTTTCACTAATTAAATCTCCTTTTGGTTGGTGCGGTTCTCCCTGCAGGATAGGGGGAAAATGTTTTGTGAAGCCATCGGCTAAATAAACCTTTCTACTCGGCTACTGAAAAAAAACCACAACCATGGGAATTATGGGATGCAAACATGGCAAATTAATTCATTTTTGCAACTCTATAAAATCTTTTCCAACCCCCAAAAATAAAGAGGAGTTTCTCCCTGCGTCCCCCTTTTTTTGCTGGGGGATGGCCACACACTGGGATGCTTGGGTGTCAAAAAAATAGATGTCTTTCGGGTGGCAATGTACCAAATTCAAAAGGTTTTTGGTTGACCTAGGGTGGGTTGATTGGGAAAAATCGGAGCAGAGGTTTGAAGCTCAAAAATAACCCCCAAATTTGTCATCTGGCTCTTGGGGTGCTGCAGCAAAAGGGATTATTTCTTGAAGAATAAATTGGATTTTCTCCAAAGAGCCGCAGCGCTGGGAGAGCCAAAACCTGCAAAATCCGGAAATTCGGTAACAGGAATTCAGTAAATTCATTAAACTCAGGCCATTTAGGTAAATGAATTCAGGAAATTTAGGAAGGAAATTCTTGCAAATTCAGGAAAGTCATATTTGATCGGAAGGCGTGCATCACTGTATCACAGTGCTGGTTTTTCTCCTAAAAATCACCAGTTCCTCTGTTCCCTGCTGGAATCCAAGCAAATTCACTTTGGATTAATTAGAATAGGATGGACTAGAATAGATCCTTCTAAATGATATATTCTCAGTTATCTCCAATATTGTTATTTCTCAATATATCTCAATTGAGATATAGGATTGGGACATATTACATCTCCAATATTATTATTATTGTATATTTCTATCAAATGAGAAATGATCCCTATTAAAAGCACCAGGTCCTGACCCTGGAAATAAATCTCAGCCCTTTCACAAAATGAAATAATACAGATTATTTCATTTATTATTATTATTGAAATAATACAGATTTGGATAGGGGAGAGGGATGTGCCACCTGCTCGTGGATGTCCTCCTGTGCATGGTAGAGATTTTGCGGCTTTTTGCAGCATTTTGGGTGTCTTTAGGGACTGAACTGTGGGTTTTGATTTAAAAAAAATATATTTTCTATCTGATGTGGGCTGAACCATGGGTTTTGCATAAATATGTGTATGTTTTATAAAATATGGGCTGAACCATAGGTTTTGCATAAAATGTGTATAAAATATAAGATAAAATATATGGTTTATAAGATATATGATATATAATACATAATAGATGATAATAGATAATAAAGTTAATTAATAGAGATAATAATTTTCTGGGGAGACAGCTCAAGAAAATCACTGTCCCTTTAGCCAGAGCTTCAGTAAAAAAGAATAAACTATTTACTCTGTATATTTATTATATCTATCTATCCATCTATCTCATTAATTACATAATATATTACCTATATTAACTACATAATCTATATTATCTGTTTCAACTATATTAACTGTATTTTCTATATTACATAGTGTATGTATAGAATAAACTGTATTAACTCTGTATATTTATTATATATGTAATAGATAATATAGGTAACATAGAATATAAAAATATATATAATTATATACTGAATTTTCCCATTTCCAGCAAACCCAATGGGATTTTGAGGGGATGCCTAAAGAACCCCCTTAGGAAGGAGATGCTGAGCAGCGATGCTCAGCAAGCACCACCACTGCCCTCCCTCTTCCCTCCTCCTGGAACTGGAAAGCTCCAAAATAGCCCAATTTTTCCCCAATTTGCAAGAGCTTTGCCCAGTCACAGAATTGTCAGCAGGGGAAGGGACCTCTAGAGATCTTCTAGCCCAACTCTAAAGCAGGGGTACCCAGAGCACATCACTCAGGACCACATCCAGGCAGATAGATAATTTTTAATAATTATTATTAATACTTCATAAGCTCTAATAACATTCATTATCATGTAATACTATTTAAGGCTATTTACTACTATTTAATATTATTTAAAACCGCGGTGGTGTGGCCTCAGCATCACCTGTGGCTTATGGAAGGCAACACAGCTAAAAAAGTCCCCGGGGAGAATTGTGATAACCCCTTTGAGAGCAAAATAATTGGTGACCAAGGAGAAATGAGTAAAATTGAAATAAAAAAATATATATATCTGAGTGAAAAAAAAAAAGAATATATTAACGAAACATTAACTCTCAACATGAGTTGATTTCCATAGGAGCTGGGAGAGGGGGGGGATGAGCCACTGAAAAATCCCACCGTAAGGGAAAGAAAAGGAAATAAAAATGTTTTATCTCCGATCTCGTTCTGTGATAACGATCTTACCAGAGTTGCGAAATGGCGAGGAAAAAAATGGGCTTGGTTTTTAAATGAAAGTCGCCTTCGCTCCAGAGCTGAGATTTGGGGGGGGATTTTATTATTTTGAGGGAGGTATTTTGTTATTTATTTGGGATATTATAGTATCTTGAAGGAGCATTTTCTTAGTTATTTGGGATATTTAATTGGGTTTGCGTGTATTCTATTATTTTGGGGGGTGAATTTATTCCCCAAATATTTATTGGGGTATTTATTATTTTTGAGGGGTATTTTATTTGGGGGGGGGGGGGAAGCTTTAGGGAAGGGGGGAGGATTTTTTTTTTTTGGGGGGGATTTTTATTTTGAGAGC